GTTATCCACAATATAATCTGGTACAGGTATTTTGTTTACCATCAGGTTTTGCTCCCTTTGGCTGTGCCTGCATCATAATTAAATTATCTCTTACCAAGATATTGTTTTATATAACTTGTTTAGAAACTTATGTCTCAGTTCTGTCCCCTGCCAAAGACAGTTGACTTCAATGGAAGCAAGATTAGACTATTGGACTCCTTCCTCCTTTTAGCTCCTTACTGTTTGCATGCAATTTCTGTCCATTTTAAACTGAATGGATGTGTAAATGAAGGACTACTGCAGACATTTTAATAGCTTCAGGCAGACTCAATTGAGAGACTAAGAATTTTCAAAGCAGACTTAAAGGGTTAGCCACACAACCCATGAGGACGTTAAGACAGATGTGTGACAAAATCCCCATCAGCCTTGAAAATGCCAGTCATTAAGTCATTGTGGGTGCTGACAGATGTGCAGTTCCCCACTGTAACTCATGGTGCTTTACAGAAAGCACCGTGAGTTACAGCGACTCTCCCCCAACCCAACAGATGTTCCCTGTTGGATTGGTGGGGGTAGGGAATTGAGCTCCACTTTGAGCTGATGCAGGAGATGCTGCATATTTGCAGCATGTCCTGGCCCTGCCCCCTCCCCTCCCAACTCCAGTACTCTCTGCATAATGGGAGGGGGTAGAAGGGATGGAATAGAACTCCAGGCTGGGGTTTGCCCAGCCTGCACTGGAGGGAGTGGGAATGGATTGGAGCCAATTGGGAGCACCTTCATCCGAACCCTCAGGGTTAATTTGTCATGCAATCGGGCACTTTTAAAGCACTTTGCCCCCATGCACTTCTGTCAGGGCACAGCTGTGAAGTGCTTTCAAGGGGTCGATCATGTGAGTCACTTCTACCAGCACCCTTTTAGTTGCATCTTCTAGAACACTCAAGAGGCATTAGCTTTTTAAAGAGAACCTAGAACCCTATTTTGGGAATATTCAGCCACTGCTGAATAACAAATTTATGAGAAATTAAAAACACCCTGGGCAAACTCTGCCTTCAAAATTGGAAGGTGTTAGGAAAGAGCAAACTGAGATAGGCAGACAGAAGGATGTAGATGGGAAAAGACTGACACCCAGTCTGCATGTATTTATACTGGCAGTATGTCACACAGCAAATATAAGTTATTTATTGGATACAGAATATATCATATTTTTAGATCTAATTTTAGAAAGAATTGGACTTTTGGTTGTTCAAGTTACATATTTTGGGGGTTATTAGTAGTCTCTGATATTCAGGAAGCGGTAATATTGAGTTGGTTTCTGATGCTGCACACATGCTTAAAGTTATGCACCTGAACAAGGTCTTTTGCACTTGGCATTCTCAGCACTAAAAACTGAAAATTTAATCTTTTCTTACTCTTTCTCCCTTCTACAGATAATCCTCATCAGAATAGATGGCAGAAGTCAGTTCTTCTGCAAACATCAAGGAGAAGGTAAGTACAGTTAATCAGTTAACTCCTAAACTATGAATTCATATTTAGTCCCCAGTCCTGAAAAAGTATTCATGTTCTGAACTTTTAATATACATATTTTTTCATGCCTACATTTAAGTGCACTCTTGAGTTTATAGGAATGGTATGTTGGGTGATAATTTTATTTTCTGACTTAGACCTCTGTTATTCCCTTGCATATTTTTGCATCCTCTCAAACTCCTGTGCTGCAGAGAGCACTGCAGAGAAAAGCACTTGGTATGCAAGGCATGGCAGGTGATAATACCACTCAATGTTGGTTAGCCTTGATTGGTGTCCTGTGCTCAGTTTAGGGACATGTTTTTTAAGAGGGATGAAGAGAAAACGGAACAGGATTCAGAGGTAAATGACAAAGATAATAAAGGGGTTGGAATGCAAGCTGTGTGAGGGAACTATGTATGTTTAGTTTGAAGAAAAGGAGATGAAGAGGAGAGGGAGAAATGATAGCAGGTTTCAGATATTTTAAAGGAAGCCATAAAGAAGTTGCTGAAAAATTGTTCTTTAGCACGGGGTACAGGAGACGAGAAAAAGAACTTTAAAGTGCAGCGAAGTAGTTTTAGATCAAACCTCAGGAAAGTTTTCTTACCTATAAGAACATGAGTACAATGGAACAAGCTGCTGATGAAAACCTCCAGCAAAGGAGATTCTACAGCTTCCAAGAAGAGGCTGAAAAGGCCTCTGTGTAAGATTGGTTAGGAACAGTAAATCTAGTATGTGTGCAGGGGATTGTGGCCTGTGAAATCCCTTCCAATCTTATGCTTCTTAATGATAGTCATTCCTGTATACAATACAACTTTGTACAGACCCATGCATTCCTCTGAAAACACTGTTTCTGATTGAAAAGTGTCCATGTTATAGTTACAGTTAGTACCTAAAATTACTGTTTAAAAAGATAGCAAAAATGATTTTTGTCTTTCAATGTAGCAGAGCATTTGACAGCAGTGTGTGTGTGTGTGTGTGTGTGTGTGTGTGTGTGTGTGTGTGTGTACATCCATTTCACTGTTTGTTCTGGTTGGCCTTGGCCTCACTAGTCCCATGCTCTTTACAAAGGAATAAGAGGCATACTACTTCCCCCCCCCCCCCCCCCCCCCCCAATGGGTCATTTTTCCATGACCTTCCAGCTACCACAGATGGGGACCATGACACAGGGGCTGAAGAGAGATTGGTATCCTAATGTTGTTGCACCAGTATGTTTAGTGATGCATGCTGTGCCTAGTATAAATACAGAACAGGGTACTATCACTGTCTATAGTTTGTGGGAGACCAGGAGACAGACTGTGGTCCTCAGAATCATAGACTACTTCGCAGTTTGGGCCCAGGATAGTATAACTGCTTGCTGTGCATAATCCAGGGCAGAGCATAAGGGATAATAACTGTCAGTAGAAAACAGCATTATGAAAATCAGCAAGTAGATAATGTCCAGTAGGCTTTGTTTTAGCCACTACTAGCATAATCCAGGGCAGATGATGTAAGAGTCCAGCCTTGGTCTATTTGTTTCTTGCTGTGAAGGTCTAAGCCAGTATCACCCAGAGAGCAGGAAAACAGTAACATTATTTGGAAAGAAATTAGTCTACACTGCCTGTATTGGAAAAGTCTGTTACAGAAACCAAGATTTCTTTTAAATGTCCATTTAAATAAAATCAAGTTGGCAACATCCCTTCAATATTGGAGTACTTGTTGTTGAATAACATTTGGGAAAGAGATGGAATTTTAAATTCAGGATTATGCAGAGAGGGCCAAACTATGTCTTGCTTATAACTTGTGTACATAGCAACATTAAGCTAAATCTGCCTCTCGGTGGGCACGTCTACATGTTCATTAATGTTAGTTACTGCACATTAAGTTTAGTACTTGGTTAACAGAGTACTAAATAAATGTATAGTAATATGTGCTACTGTGCAGTGGCACGGGTGCATGGCTATTTAGTGATGCTTACTGAGCAGTAGCCTAATACTACTGTGCAGTAGCATATTAGCTTGGTTTTTGCCTGGCACACTACTGTGCAGTGTTGTTAGGTTACTGCACCATTTAGCATTTCATGTAGACATGCCCACTGATACAAGTTTTAAGCATGGAATAACTACAAGTTAAAACCAATGGAACCTGTTGCTCTCAGTGTCTTTTGGTGTATATATGTCTCAGTGATAGCTGCATTGTTTGTTGATTTCATGAAAGTTGCCCTGGGTATAATGGAGGGCACAGCTTTGTACAGAAAGTACAATATTCTGACTGAAGACGCAATAAAAGGGGCAATTCATAGCTGCAGAGTATGCTCAAACCCCATTATATCATAATATATACCACCTACCATGAGAACTTGTAGATTGTAAAGCTTTCTACCTCTTTTGGCAACCCTAGAGAGAACATAAATTCAAGAATTTATATTCCTAGATGAGCTGGGTTGTTTTTTCTACTGGATGTTGAAAGTATTTATTTAACATGGGACAAATTTGTCTGGCTTCAGTTTTGTAGTTAAACACTTTGGTTGGAGAAGCAGGCGGAGAGAGTGATGGAACTAGGATACTTTAAATGTGGCTGCATAGCACAAAAATCCCTCGGAATAAGACAGAGTTGAAATGTAGCAGAGCAAAGAATTAACAGCCTGCAACCTGGGGTGAATAATAATATTTTTAGGTTCATAGCCATTTTATCTCAGCATTCACAAATAAAGTAGTCAGCATTTCAGTCAGGTAATGCACACCAGAATTGATCATTCCTAACAGTTAATGGCTTAGATATTGTCTTTGGTTTGTAAAGACCTGATAAATCAAGACCGTTTCTGACCCTAGAGCCACTTATTGAGACTTTATCAGAGGTATTGTCTGAATGAACAGTCACAAACTGCCTCATACCTACTGCATGTCAATGAAGCTCCTGAAGAAACAATGTATATAGAGAGAATGAGCTCTTGACAAACATCCTTCCTCTGTCCAGCTGTTTTATGTCCACCTTATGCTTCCCTTCTTTTTCCATGTGTTTGTCTTGCTTCCAAAAAGATATAGAATCTCTTTGCTTTATAATCTTCAACAAGGAGTTGTTCATTTTCTGATGTGCACTGTTTAGTCGAGCAGAGCAGAAACCCAGTGCTTTTCTTCATTTATTTTTATCGTTAACTGTTAGGTCACTTTTTCCTTTTTGAGGTCTATTTATCAACATGAAACTGGATTTCAGTGGATGGCTGTCTACTTTAGCCTTTGATGGTAGCCCAGAGTTTAAAAATTGACTTGCTTGATGAATTTTTGGAATAGGAAATATTATCAGTAAACCTCATCTCCTAATGTTAGACTGTTAGTAGGCAATTTATAGTAAATCTGACCATGCAAATCAGTGACTGGATCATTTACTATGTGACTTGTACATACTAATTTAATCGCTTTTATAAGGGGAGGGTTTCTCAAGCCATTGGTTCATGTTTTGCCTAAAGTTAGGAATGAAGAACTGGAGCAGAACTCTTATTCACTCCAGATATTGCCATCCCAGCTCTGCTGATATCTGCTTTGCAAGTGCAAAGGTGAATTCAGAGAGGTGCAGTGGTGGTGGCCACACCCCCTTTCCTGCCATGCTGCAGTAACAGCAGCTGGGAAATTTTTTAAGTCCGTGTCGTGTCGTTTTTCCACCCCCCTCCCCCCCCCCCCCCCCCCCC